CGCACGACAATGCTTCACTAATGGGTAAAAGCATAGCAAATTATTTTTGCTGCTTTTGCCGAACGCAGACTACTGCGTAAAATTGACTTCCTTTCCAAAGTCAGCTGAAGAATATGAGAACGAGTTTGTAGGGCAGGCAACATTCAACTCAGTTGTCAACTCAGAATTTGACTATCTGCCTGTAATTTCTGCTAAAAGTAGACACTTTTGTTCTTTAATTTTGTGAGCCTAAACGAGTGCTTCTTTTGGTTGGAACACACACCTGTTCGTTGGGGAGGTGCGTGCACAATGGATGTCTGGGGATGGAATTTTCTTGAGCTTAGTAAAACAGAAACGGGGAGGCAACATAATACAAGCTCCTTATTTTCTGAGTACAAATTTGTTCGTAGATATGCGGCTTCATTCCATGTTCCAAAATATTTGAGCTAGATCACCTCGGTTCCTTGACTAAGACAATTTGCTCTGAAGTTTGGGCGAGAAAAGGACGAGTTGCAAGCGGATGTTTGTGTTTCCAGCTTACGCAGTAACGGCCAGTGTAAGCGATGGAGCAAGCACTGCCGAGCCAACTACAGAGAGCCCTAATATATCCTGTCCAGGGAGTCGGACTCAGCATTCAAAGACGCTTCAGCAGAGCTCATCTGAGTTTTACGTAGGCCAACACCGCCCGCTGATTGGTTGATTTAGCATTTAAAGCCAAGTCAATGTGAGCGATGCTGCAAGATCTTTCATACCCTGACTTTGGGAGAACTCAACTGACAATAACTTAATCCCAGCGACTATCACTCAGAAAACTCGAACGCAGGTTAAGGTACTAAATGAAGTGGAGAAGTAAACACACGAGTTGTTGCTCTGACGAAACGCTCACATGTGGGCTTGCTATTCACTGTTACGTCGAGGTGGTTTAGCCTGACGTCCGCGAGTGGGGGTGGAAGCGCAGTAACAGCGAATGCCATTCAAGATGCTTAATTGCATTTGCACAAATAAAACCAGCATTTTTGCATACTTGTCCTTCCTTTTCTACACAATTTTGTTTTGTCACTTCTTTTGCAAATTACACAAGCTACTTGATATTGACAAAGGTGTCCAGCAGGTAGACATGCAACAACCTTGTAGTTAAGGTCAGGACGCATAGTTACGGTCCTTTGGGAGGTCAGAGAAAAAGATGTGCGCTGTAACAAGCTGTAGCATCCAATGTTGTCCTATATGCTAGAGAACTACTAGAGAAGAGGGCGAGTCACTTTTATCATTCCCCATGCTTCCTTTTACATAACGTCAGGTTATAAGGTCAATAGATACTTCAAATGTGGTACTTGTGATGGGCTATTAGGAGACGAAAAACCGTAAACAATTTATAGTAAACTGATGTTTTTTTTATATTCCTCTTAAAAGAAAACGTTTTGAAGTTTGAATTATGATGCGGATAAAACACTAGGAATACTGGGCACTATATGTCGCATGTATTGTGGTGATTTGCCCTCCACCAGTCTGTGTGTGCCAATTTAGTGCAACCGCATAGCGATATGTGTGAGGCAGAATAATAGTTGACCAAGACGCATCACTTTCTCGATTTGACAGTGCCTACTGTACATCACGTTAGTGAATCTAGGGACATGGAACATTTTTGCTTAGAGGCCCGATTTCTCATTTGTCCCTAGGCGATGATCAGTGTGTTCTTTTCCATTGTGCTTGTATTTGACAGGGCCATCGGTGAGGTGCCTCTCAAGCTAATCATAGCGGGAAATGTGCAAAACTCCTATCGTTAAGAGGGAAGGGGTTAAGCACAAAGATAGAAGCCAGATGATGATATGCTAATCCATTCTGCACTACGATACCAACATCTGAAATTGAGTAAGGAAGTGATTTTAGCTCTAAGAATTCCTTCAATCAGACTGATTAATAAGCGGCCCTATCTCCCCACCTTTATTTAAAGCTGCTAGATCTTGTGCAAGAAAAGACGTAGGTGATACATAAAAGATTTTTGTTGCCGATGATGACAAATCTCTATGGTAGGCAGAGCATTTGTAAAAAGTTGTGGGTTAGCATTCATTGTTTTTTTGCCTGTTAGTTTTAGGCTGTGTTATTCTCTCGTATGTTGTGCTCAAATTTTTAATCACTTTTCATCTTTTTGGTCGATGTTTTTGAATGACAGCTGACTGACCAGGGTCACTAATTTCCCGTCAGTAGTATGCCAGAAGGGTGGAGTGAAATGGCACACAATGGTACAACGCGCCAACATCGCGCGTTGCAAGCTGATTTCATGGATGAAATGTGACTCCCCACAATAACTACAAAACGGGGGTGCGATTCTCTTCTATTCTATGCTGTACGAGAATGTTCTACCTTCTTTTCCTTCTTCTTCATCTTTCGTGCTCAATAAGCGCTAAATATGGTGGCTGAGTGTAGAGATACACCCTACAGATACATAATCCCTAAATAATTTTTACCATCTTGAAGCTAACATGGGCAGGATACCCACTTATCTAATTACTTTTGGCTATCCTTTAGTCCGATTGAAGAGATATTCAACTTTAAATTTGCCCTCTCATTTACTGTCTGACTTTGATCAAATCGCCTTTCCCCTACATGACAAGCGTTGTGTTGCTTTGCACTTTGGTTAGCTGAAAGAAGATAAGAATGCGTTTGCCGTTTACATACATCCACTCTGGAAGCAAGCCTACCAATTGGCTTTCAAGTCAT